GGTAATTCGTGGTTATATAAGAAGAGGTCCTCAGAGCTTTCATTTGTAAAATGGAATGAATGGAGCGAATCACATCAGCCCACAGCAGCTTAACGAGACGCTAACTCCTACACATGTCAATCAGCACAACTGTAACACACACAAACCACCCTATCGTGTGTGTTCATGATTTATTGGAGTGTGAAGCAGGTGTAGTAGCTTTACCTGTTGTTGCAGAGCTGCTTAACATCAAAAATCATATGTAAGCAAGAAAATCCATCACTGTTTGTTATAAAGTAGGACAGAAGTGTTTTTTTTTCTACCTAGTTTGTTATTTTAGCGTTGACATATTTTGTATGCAAAGGAGCGAGCGCGCAGCAGCGAGTCTGTGCTGAAGCCGTTTCCCCCGACACTACCTACTGCTCAGGTTCAGGGAACCCTCTGCTCCGACATGCAACATTTAAATGAAGGCATTAAAATTTAAACAGTCTCCATTCCGGGGACAATCACTGCTGACATCTGCTTGGCATGCGACAAGTTAAGGAATACAAACACGGTGGCTGCTAACACCATGTGAAACTTTTTGGTTTTAAATTTGCCTTTCCCAGCAGATGGGAAACCTGTTTCTTAAAGCTTGCTTTTGATTGAGTTATCAAATATAAATGATCACAACACAATATTTAAAACATCATGTTTCCATATTTGATAGACGCTTCTCTGGTGGAAACAGCACAATATGTGTGTTTTGGAGTTTTTTCCCACTGTTAGGACAAACTTTTTGTTTGTATGTTGATTAGCAGTCTGACGGTGTCCTCCTAGTCTTATAATTTACGTTGTCCATGTTTGTCACACCTACATGTTTTCAGATCATCAAACAAATTTTAATATTAGAGAAAGATGACCTGAATAAATACAAAATACATTTTTTAAATTATGTTTTCATTTATTAAGGGAAAAACATCCATACTACTGGTTATGCCCCCCTTGGCAGCAAGAAGTGCAATCAAGTGTTTGCAATAACTGGCAATGAGCCTATCAGATACAGTAGCTGTGGATAAATTTTGACCCACTCTTCTTTGCAGAAATGTTTTAATCCAACCACATGTATAGAATTTCTTTTACTTGGGTATTAATCACATTATTTTATTGTATTAACATGTCTGACACTCATACTTAAGACAAATGGTAGGGGATGTAGTAAGGATGTTGGGGGAAACAGGAACTCCACAGGACCAGTCTTTTGTCTCTTCGAGGACTCTGGGAAGTAGCAAGGGAGTGTGAACCTTACTGTGTACTGCCTTTTGTTCCTGGAGAAGGTATTTAACTGAGAGTCATGCTAGGCTCAGAGAGAGACTCTGCTGACCCTGCCCCGTGGTCATGTAGGCTCTCCATCAAGCTTGGTTGTATGTTCTTTGTGTGTTTGGATTAAAGAATGTTAGCTACTGCTCACCGCTCATCTGCAGGCTTTATTTAAATGGAAAACTTCCACAACACACATTAGAGGGCTTTCAAGTATGAACAAACCTTTTAAGGCCATACCAAACAACCTTAATCAGATTTAAGTCCGGACATTGACTAGGCCACTCAAAATCTTTTTTGTTTTGTTTTGTTAACCTTTCAGAGGTGGACTTGTTGGTGTATTCTGGATCACTGTGCTGCTGCATAACCCAGGTGATCCTAAGCTCCTGGGCGTGAACTGAGGATGTCCATCTCACAATGTGCCGCTCCAAAATGGGAAGTGTACACATCCAAAAGTTGTAGTGGCTTTAAATATATTATCTCCCTTTGGTGCTACTGTATGTCTGCTTCTGCATACATATGAAATGGACATGGTGGGCTGGTGCGTCTTTTACAGGTTTTGCCGTGAAGCAGCGAAGCTGTCCCACATCGTCATACTACCACTACCATGTTTGACTTAATGATGTTCTTTATATAAAATGCTGTGTTAGCTAGTTAGTGAAACTTAGCTCAGCTTTCTAAAAACATGTGTTGTATTTCAAGAAGTTGGGATCTCAACTGCCCAACCATGCCAGCATGCACTTGTAATGTAGTGATTACACTAATACAAGAGTATGCAACCCAGTGGTCTAACAACACTCATCTGCACACGTATCCATCATTTTGAGTGGCTGTTGCACAATTATGACACAATCATACCAACAAAACCTGTCGACAGCCATCCGGGCCAGCCATGGTGGACGTTTAGTGCAGTAGGCGTCTGCAGCACACAGTCGTCTTACCTTACCTCTCTCTGGAGTCACATTCTCATCTGAGCTCGGTGTTCTCTGAACTAAAGAGCATTGAGGTCACATGTACAGAAATGATATGTATACATAACCTGCAACCAGGGTTGAGCTAATGGCAAATACTGCAATCAGGAGAGCAGCTATGTTTATAAAGTACAGTTTTTCGCTTTGCACTCATAAAGTTTCCCCACCTAAAGCTCTTTGCAGCAGCAGCCTGTGTTGTCTCCTCCAAATTTTGTTTCTTGTCTAATTATCATTCTGTTTCGTGCTTGGATTACAGCGTAAATCAGCAAAGCCAACAGCTCTTGATGAATGCCCATTCTGTTGGGTAATGAAACATGCAAGAATTTGTTTCCTTTTGGGAAGTTGGTGGCCGCCTAGCAAAGTAGTTGTAATTATACCTCACATGCTTGTTGTCACAGTAGTAACAGTAGATGTCCCCCTTTCTGAGTACCAAGAGTAATCAAAACAAAACAGTGGTTTGTTCAGTTTTTAGAGGTTTTGAGTGTGGCTGGGTATTTTCTCCTTTTATGTATCTATAACACTGCCTTAATGGTATTCAGACAACACCTTTGCTTATTTACACTGAACCACACAAAGCTGCCATACTGGTACTCTTGCTTGTGAATTTATATGGAAACCTGGCGTTGGTGAATCAGACGGGTGTCTAGGGAGGTGGAGTAAGATTTTTCATGATTCACTCCTTTAGATTTCATTAAGGCAAAAGGTTCTGCATTAGTAAGTGGCGTGACCGTTTTATTTGGCGTTGACTTGAGACTTCACCTCAGCTAATACAAGTTAATGAACTGTATCGACTGTTTGTAGCGTGGTGTTTTTCTAAAGAATGTGAACAAAAATATTGCTTACTGTGTCACTATTTGGTATAGCTTGTCTATGCTCTAATTTTGTTGACTGATTTATTAGTGTGTTAATTAGCGCGGATTAGCAGGCACCTATGTCTGTGCTGTGCACTTTCCTGACCTAGTGTAAGGTAAGTACTTTGAGTTTCCTCTTCTCTTCTAAATGTGCTCACTTCTGGGTCCAAAAAGCTTCAACATGCAGGTCCACACACACCAGTGGGTGATGTCACACATTAACTTTTAATATGTGGGGTGTCATTAAGTCAGCAAATTTGATTCAAATTGGACAAAAAGTACTGTGCAAAAGTCTTCAGCCACCCCTCATTGCTTTGTATTCTTCTTCCAAGTAGCCGGACCTTCTTGTAATGTTTAAAGTGGTATTGAGAGATAGTTCTCCAGGCTTTCTTTTGGCTGCTTTTGCCACTCACTTCCATTCCAGTCCTTGTACCAGACGATTTTCCCAGGAATTGTTTTTATTTTTTTTATTTTAAATCCACTTAACACTAACAAATGAATCATTCAAGAATAAAAAGGCTCCTAACTCAAGTGCTGAACCTGTGCTGTGTCCACATATAATAGACAACTTAGCAAAGAACCAATTTGCAATTGTATCTTTAGGCACTTTAACACCAGCCTGTCAAGAAAAGAATTAGTTCTCATTTCTTAGTTGAATCTATGAAAAATGCCAAACATAACACAGTTTGACAAGCATAATATAGTATTTTTGTAACGCAAGGTGATTCCCAAGGCGCTATTAGCTGAAAACCTGGCAGATCTAAGCATACTAAATAAAAAATAAGGAAACTGGACAAGTGGAGGACAAAAGAAGCAACAGCCTTTAAAAATGTATCTATAGCTGATGAACAGCATCCAAAAATCGCATCCTTAAGAAATCAGGAGAAATCCACCAAAGACGTGACAGATGCATCTGGCACTTCATCTGATCCATTTGCTGTTTACTGAAGCTTCATCAGAAACGGCCTCAGTGGCTGTCGAGAAGCCATTCATAAGGAAGGGAAGCAGGGAGAAAAGGCTGAGGTATGCTAAGTAACACAATAACTGGACTGAAAATCAGTGGCAACAGGTGTTATGGAGTGAAAAATCCAAATGTATACGTTTTGGTTCAGTTCATTGTCAAAAAGTATGAAGGAGGTCAGCAGAGAGATACAGCAGTGAGTGTCTACACACAGTGGACGCTTTGTTTGAGGCTGCATTTCAACCAGTCGTGTTGGAGACTGTGTCAACATGATGGAACTATGACAAGTACCATCAGATTTTGAGCTACCATGCAATACCATCTGAAGACCATCAAATGTCTGCACATTCCTGTACTGTAGTTGAAGTCTGTGTTTTATTGTGTGCATGTATTTTTTTCCTCATTGCAGCATTGTATGTGTCAGGCAGTCACGTGATTTTGCGTTAAGTGTGCAGCAGAGATTCAAATAAAGGTGAGTTTAAGTATAAGGTGCTGTGTAGCCACTTTCAGGTTTTGAATTGTGGCCACAGCGACTAATTGTTTATATACGTGCTGGTTTTGTTGCAGATAAGAGCTTCTTTGATAAGTTGAGACTGAGACTGTGGTAACAAGCTTTTTGTGAGGTCTCAGGCGTTTCTCAGAGGGTGGGAGGGCTCTGGGGTTAGAGGTTCTGCCAGATATCTTGTCTCGTTTGATACAAGGGAGAGCCAGAGGGCCAGGGAGTGAGCATGCAGGAGATCAAAAGGACAGACTAATTGTTTCTGACTGCCCAGAGACACACGACTGATTGCTCTGTTACAGTTGTTGAATTTCACACACAGCTGAGAGGAAACCGACTGTGCTGGTCGCTATTAGAATAAAATAAAACATACGCTGCTGTCATGACGATGGCAACGAATCAAGACACAAAACAAGGTACATTAAAAGCTGACCCATTGCTTCCACCTTAAATTTTATTAGTTGTTTTTTGTGTTATAATTTAGCAAAGCAAACATCAAAGTATGAAGGCATCATTTCTAAGAACTGTAATTTCTCTGATCTTTAGTATGGCACCACTGAAAATAATTAATGACTCATACCAACATTTGAAACAAAGCAAAACCCCTTTTTTAAAAATTAAAGAAAGAAAGAAAAAACAGGTGTTAGCCATTACATGTACTTAAAAATACAAATCATCTGCAAGCAATACACAACCAAGAACTCATACATCTCCTCCTCAGGTCTGTGATTGTGATGGTTTTTTTGTAATTTGATATGAAATAAGGCAGATTCATTCGATACAATTATAGACAATCTGGTAAGAAGACAAGCGAAAGCGAAGAAGACTGCAATTCTTGTTTATGTAGGTGAAGTTCAAAGCAATTTCCTGGCATGCACTGGAAATGGCAAAGAAAAAGGAAAGGGGAGGGAGGGGAAATTAAAAAGAAGACTCAAATCGATTTGTTGAAAAGACACTCACATCCTCGTTTATGTGCACGGGCGTTAATGAACAGTTTCCTGGTTAAAATGAGTAAAGCTGCAGTCACGGCAGCAGCGGAGATGAGACTTGATTAGTGATGTTCAGATGAAAGGCCTGGCAAGCGGCACGTCGCCTCACAGACCGCAACGCGAATCGGGGCATTGGCCGATCTGACTAAAGAATGGAAATCGAAGCTGCGGCGGTGTGTGAGGAGACGTGGCAGGTGTCAGTGTGTCGCACTCCAAAGCAGATTACAAATGCAGGCTGTCGTCCCACTACCGAGCGCCATCGTGACTGTACTGGTGGCGTCAGTAAAAACTAAAAAGGATGGTTGATGTTTAGCATCACCCAGCCGGGAGTGTCAACATGTAGGAGCTGTGGCTGTTGTCCAATGACAGCTTCGCCATGCTCTCACAGTGGGTTTATCAAATAGCAAGACTTGAACCTGGTTTATCTCATTGCACCCTTCGGGCAGAATGATGTATGACTCTAACACACAGTGAGGTATGGCTCATCTTTTCTGGTTGATATGTTCAAGTCCTATAAGTAAGGTTTTGTACATACATATACATATAGTACATACATATTTCAGGGATGAATAGTTTAACCAAGAGAGGGGAGGGTAAGTAAACTTGGGAATGTGAGCATCTTGTGAGTAACTGGTTTTCCTGGGCCAGTGTCAGAGCCCATACTGACATGGGCCAGGCTGACACCAGTGTGGCCTTCGCACAGTTTGCTGGCTGTCAGATGAGGCTGATTGTCTTCCCTTCAGCTGGTCAGTCTTTCTTCTCAGTGCCTGGATGGAAACAAATGACAAGACATTTCCTCAACACTCTGTCTTGGAGGCGTACTAGGAGCAACCCTTGAAGCTCTTTTCTAAACTGAACGTTTTTTTTTTTTTTTGGCGTAATCAGAATCAGCATCAGCATCATCAGAGGTTAGTGGGAAAAACCCAAAAACTGTTGGTCATCAAACCACGTCTTTATTGATATATACTGATCATCATTATTAAGGGTAAAGGGGAGGTCGTCAAATGTTGTCTTTATTGTGAAAAGAGTTCAAGATTTCTGGCTGTGGATTGCATTAGACTGTAAAGGAGTACATAAATACAAGTCAAATGAAACAAAAGCACTAATCTGTAAATGCCAGTAAACAGGGATGACACGTACTTTATAAACAACTCAAAGCTTCGTCAAAATCCAGCTCAGTGATGCTCGAAAAATTGTGTGCGGCAGACAGAGACATCGAGGCAGATCCGGTTCCTCTGTTCCCATTTCACCGCAAATGACGTGATTTTTGTGTTTGAAGATAAAACAACACATCAACTTTGCTCTAAAAATGTCATACAGTAAGTTTTGATGTTGTACTCTGGCTAATTTTAACGGCACACTATGAACTAACCATCTCCCTCGCACACAGTCCCACCCTGATGCACTCGGTTGTCCAGCAACAGGCTTTTTTCCCCCTTTTCCTGGCTGCTTTGTCTGGCATTGTTTAAGCTCTCTCCTTTCTACACCAACCCACCTACCTCTGCCAAGTTATTTCATATGCTGCTTCCCTGTCCTATTTATTCAACCCCAACAATCTGTTCGTAGCAGTTGCTTAAATGAATTTTTTCTACCTGGAAACTATACGACGCCCAAATCCGAAAGCCATTTTTTTCTTTTTTGGCTCATCGCTTCTTTGGACCCACACAGAGAACAAGCGTGTTCACAGAAATTAATAGCACCCTCCATAGATGACTACATTCAAATTATATGCTGTCTTATTAGCCTAAATCTCAACGAAGACCTGAGGATAACACCAGTGTAGTATCCTTATCAGATATGATTTATTGGCATTATTATTACCCCTACAGTCTGTTTTGGCTGCATGTTAAAACAATATGCTTTGCACACTTGATTTATTAAATGTCCAATAGTTGAGGGTGCAGGTAATTCATCATACTCAATCTCCAAAGACGTGCCGACGCGCATATACTAAAATATCAGGGTTATAGTTGCAGACCTGAAATGGGTACAGAGGATTTACAAATGCATTTGGCCCTGAAGGAACACGTACTGCCGGCTGCCTGCCCCTACAGAGACAAGGAGATGGAGACAGACGGGGAGGGGGAATGGAGACAAGTAGGGTGAAGCTGGGTAACACTTGGCTGTGCGCAGCGGAGGATTCTCGAAAAGAAGTGAATTTTAATTCAGCAGCTGTGGCCACTAATAAGAATCCACTTATAGAGATGTGTGTGACATCAGTGTGAGCCAGTAAGCGGGTGTGAGTGCTTCTTTCAAGCTTTTACCTTTGGACTGAGTTAGAGTTGAATCAGCTTGTTCCGAGTCCTCGACAGGATCGTTCGTCTCTCCTAGAAGGAAGTAAAAGAAAGGAGAGCGGGGAAATATTACAAGAGGCCATGAAAATCAGGCAGCCCTTCCCACTTTTCTGTGCCAAGAAGCATCAATATACCTAAACAAGCGCTGCCTCGCCAAGCATGTGAGCCTGAGTTCGGTTTGTAGTTACAGTGGAGCTAAGAGAGACGGCTTCAGATCAGGACTGAAGATTATGCGAACATCTCATAATGATTTTTTTATATGTGAATTCATTAAAAAACCGACTTCTGATGCTGTCTGCAGCTTCCCAGCTCTAAAATTTAAATGCATCTTTTATATAATCAAAGGCTAATATGTACTGTGTTGTGAAAAAAGGGAAGAAATTGAGGAAGGGATGTGGCTGTCAGGCTGTTAGGGAGTCTCTACTCTGAAAACGCATAATCTCGGCTCACCTCCACTGCTGGTGCCAGTGTCGTTCGTCTGAGAATCTGTAACATGGGGAACACACAAATACGCACATGTTAGCTATTCTAAAAGTCGATTCGTGCACGCAGATACGGTTAAACAGACTCAAGTTTGGGTAAACGCAGCCATTATGCAGGATTATTCAGCGACTCTTTGTGCTTTTGTCAAAATGCTTTATAACCAACAGAGTCAATCATCCTGGAACCAGTCCAGGATTTCATGAGCAAACATTTCGATTTATCCTGATGCTTCAACTCTCAAGCCTGGAATTTCAGCGCCTTCCTGAAGTGCAACACTTCAAAACGGAACAAAACAAAATCTGAGAAGGGAGAGAGATGCATTCAAAATTAATTACAAACCACCGTTCCCATAAGGCAGCTTGAGACCCCCCCAACATCCACCCACCACACACACACAGACGCCCCCAACCCTCCTCTACACGCTTCCCTCTCCCCGTCTATCCTCCCCGTTACCTCTGTAGTCGCACAACTCCTTCGTAGTCACTCCCAGAGCAAACCTCCCCGCTTCCCCCTTTCGCAACAGCAATCAACCAAACAAAGCAGACCATAAAAATAACCACACTCCCCAGGCAGTCTGGTGATAATGTAAACAAATACAACTGCTTCGGGATGATAGAGGCAACCATGGAGTCTAAGGCTGCTCCGGTGTTCTGTATGTTCAGAGGAACAAGGCTGCGGTTGAGGTCATTATACACTCACGGTTGTAATTGCAGGTATCTAAGGTCCTCAAAGCGAGATGAAAGTTTGTGCATTGCACAATAGCTTTCCCTCGCTGGCTGTCTCACTAGGACTCTGTCAGCTGTGTAGAAAATCCATTATACTGCTTCTTCAGTATAAAACTGATTTAATCTGTTGCAACATATTGGGATAAATTTCTCCTCTCCAAGACACCACCGGGACTCAAGGACTGCAGAAAAGCAGGAAGGATGAAGCAACAACAATATCCCCCTGCTTTCTTTTACCGTTTGATCTGTGGCATGGAAACGGCCTTGGAATTATATTATGTCCTTTTTATCTTCTGGTTATTTATAACTTGGATGTTATTTTTTATTGCTTTGGCACAATGCCTGTGATTTCTATCAGTAATAACGTAATTATACTTAGGAGCATAATTGATGTGGGAAAATAGTAACGCACGCACCATATGTAGACTACAAATCTTGATTCGTTTGTGCTTGCCAGCAGTGCGACAAGTGCGCTTCAAACTGTTTTTTGTCTCCTCCAAGTAGTAATTGGTTTAAATTATCTGGCTTAAATGAACTTATTTAAAACTTAATTTGAATTTTTTGCCAGCCTGTCCCCAGATCCCAGACGTGACTTTAAGTAAAACGCTATCAGAACCAACCAAAATGACTCATCCAGATGAAAAATAACCAGAAAAGGAAAGCAGCTCTAAATAACCCAGAATTTCCCTTTAATGTCTTCTGGCTTATTATAAATTAATCAAAGAAGCAGATTTTCCTGCTGTAATAGACTAAACTGACAGGAAGCATGACACGCACATTGTGCCAGATGTGTTTTGGATGTGTTACCCGTATGGCATCAATAGTGAAGTAATTAATTATGCATACGCATCAAATGATATGCCGTTCATTAACGCTTTTCCACATAATCTCTATGTGCATTAAAGCTGATGGCGAGACATGGGAAATGTGCCCGACACAGGAATACAGCCTCCGTCGCATGAACTAGCTTAGCATGTCTACGCGTAGCAGCAGGAGCTCACTGAAGCAGCGGCCTCATTCCAGATGCTCCTTTTTTGTTCTCTCCTAGGTAACAACACGGTCTTGGAGCTAGGGTAGCATCCTCCTCCCCTTTCGATACCCAACACTGATCAAAACGAAGGAAAAAAAAGTTCAGATTTTCAGTTGATTGTGGCTTCAGCTTCTTTCTGACTGAAGCTCGGAGGGAACAGCAGCATTGGTTTCTCTCGTTCTCTAATTTGACTTCTGTGTGCTGACAGTGAAAGGGCTATCATTTAGAGGAGCATCAGAGGGTGCTGTGGTAAACACATAAACAAGATTTTTTTTGGGGGGGGGAGAAGAAAAATGGGCCTCTGGTGAAGGAGAAGCACAGTCCACAGAGGGCAGATAAGAAAAATAGAAGAAAAACAGAGTGAATTGACTACTCCCTCAGCGGGGAAAGTGGACAGCTTACAGCAATGTTTTTTAATACCAAGGACTTGAGGGGTCCTTGATGGTGACCCCCAGCCTCCATGCTGGTATGTAAATTACGAGCATTCAGCCCTGGTTACAGAATTTGTATGTACATGGGTTAATGTGAGTCTACAGAAAGAGGGCAAAATAATTGAGAGCTGGTGACTGTGCTGGCCTCTCTGCTGATTGCTTATCAGCTGACTTCTTCCACTCGAAATTCTTCGTGCATAGCTTGGAGCTGCGCTTTGGGTCATTGTCTTGTTGTAGGAGGAAATTGGTCTTTTTCTTTGTACGCTGGCTTGAAGGCCAGGACGCAGGAGTCGCCTTTTCAATTTTGACACCGAGACTGGTGTTTTGCTGCTGCCATTTATTAAAATTGCCAGTTGAGGACCTGCGAGGCATCGTTTTCGTAAAACAGAGATTCTAATGTGCTTGTCCTCTCGTACACTTGCGCAACAAGGTCTCTTAATTCTCTTTCAGCTCTACTAAAAGCCACTTTGTGTTGTTTTGTGAAGAAAGCAGAACACTTCAGGGCTGCGAGAGATCAGATTTTTACTTTCGAACGATCACGGCCACGAGGCTCATTCACGATAACATTATCATAGGAATAATTCAAATACTTCTATAACCTTATTTACTGTCTGTCTGTCAGCTTGTTAGCAAATTTAGTTCATTTTTGCAACAACGCATGAACAAATCTTAAAATGTAAAGATTTCACAACTTATAGAAGCCAAAGATTTCTGCCAGTTATGCTCCAATCTTACGGGTAAAGATAATGAAATCCATAATTTTAGTATGTTTTATGTTTTATGATGTTTTTATTACAACACACTGACATCTCTTGTGTTTTTTTTCTAATCCCAGACACCAAACTAGACAAATGCACTGCTTCTTTAATCAGCACAGCAGTTTTCAGATTTGCTGTCATAACTGGAATTACTGATCAATTATGCATGAAAGACTTTACATTAGGTGACAAAATCTGCCATCCCAACAGATGAGCGACCCCAAATTTATGAGTGAGGGCGTGCAAAAGAGAGACTCGACTTCACTGAGACCGGCAAACTTGGATGAGGTGACTGGTAATGAGATTTTCCAAAAGGGTTTTTGATCTGATTCCACATATTTGAACTGTAATCAGTTATTATCGGTCATGATATCATCGTGTTTTGGTGAAGACGAAGGAGACGGAGATCAAGCCGGACTAATTTAGAGATGGGCAGAGGTCACCCGGAATATCAGAAACATTTCAAACGTTAACTAACTTTTAAGTTCTTTAACATTTTTTTCTGTCATTTCAGCCTTTTAGAAGTTCAGTTAAAAACATCCTGGAGAGAAAACCATCAAGAAGGAGGAAAACTGCATGCGCTCACATTTCCACACATGAGAGAAGGGAGAGGAAGGAAGAGAGTTGGGCATAAGTCACCCTCGCATGCAGACAAGCAGAAAATTACATCCCCCCACCTTCCATTCATTTATTAGACAAGCGGTAGTTAGCGTTTTGTTGGTCAGCATTAGTATACCGCAGCACAATATTCAGCGACGACAGGAAGTGTGTTTGAACTGCAGCAGCGGCGAGTTAAAATGTGAAAACAATGTTTGAATAGGAGACGGATTTTTGATTAGCTGTAGCTTTTGTGTGATAAGTGTACTCATCATTGTTAAATGGTGTTTGTCATGACCACCAGCATTTCTGCTTTTACGCAACTTTTAATGGTCTTGTCATTCCAACTCAGCCGGCTCGCAAGGGAGGCAGTCCCCATGGGTCACCCACATAGCAGCATGGGAACCGTCTCTGTTTAATGTTCCAGACAGGAGCCGTGAGCAGAACAGGAGGTTCCCTTTGTCCTTTAGCCACAGGACATCTCACAGTCTTTTTTTAATCTCGTCATCTTGAGCAGTTAAAAAAAAAAATGAAAGAGAAAAGAAAAAAAATCGATCGAGGTGTAGAAGTGTCTGCGCTCTACAGTGTCAGTTCCCTTAGGAGAATTTCTTCTGTTCATTTGATCCTTAAAGCATGGCATGGCAGGCTGGTCTGTTGTGTCTGAAAACATCTCGGAGCTTTGATCCCAAGCAGATCACACAGGTGTCCAGCTGCTTCCACTCTAACAATGAACATGAGCCATGGCGATATCAGTCTAGGAACAACTGAAAGCCATCAGCACATGAACGGTTCACTAGAGAATGCGCGACGTCTTGCACCGAGTGCATTAAGTACTTCTATTTTGCCTGAGTTCAGTCTGTTGTTTGGAGCTTTTGTGATGCAGTTGGAGGGCCACGGCTTGTTCAATGGCACGTTATCTTGAGAGAAAAAAGAAGGAAAATGTCAAGGTCGATGCCAGTATCTGTTGGTGCTCTATTCTTTTCAGGGGGATGAGAGGAAAATTATTTAAACTGGGTGGTCTACGGGGGACTCGGGCCTGGTCTGTCCTGGGTTATGTATATTTAACAAGTATCAAAGAGTCCCTCATTGAACTTTGCATGGGCTAATAGCTTTGGGTCTGATATGCCTACTGCAAAGATAATTAAAGACATCCCTGCTCAGGCAAAACAAGAATGGGTGGAGCTCAACAAGTGCCCAACCAAAAGAACTAATGAGCTGGTAAATGTGGAAAGCAACCCATTTTCATATGTTAATTTTAAGTTTGTAGTACATGCTTGTGGAAATAGCTTAGCTGCATGAGCTGCCACTCTCAAAGCAGTAAAAAGAGGAGGGGGTTTTGTAAAGGGAGGCAGTAGGGGGTGGTGGTGGTGCTGGAGGCAGCATTTGATAGCTAGAGTCTTCTCTTCTACGAGATGGAACACTGTCTGACAATCTGAGCCAATTAAAGAGCATTGAGCTGTGA